AGCAATATTTGTGTGTGTGTGTGTGTGTGTGTGTGTTTGTGTGTGTGTGTATAATAGCTGCAGACTGAATGGAACATTGGGATTTCTGTGCAGTCCGTCGTGATGACCTCCGCTCATTTCTGAATGTCGCACTGCAGAAGTAATACGATGGAAGGGTCGCTCTTCGCAGCTTCTTTGAATTCATCCAGTGTAATCTGGTCATCTTTGTTCTTATCCATCTTGCTGAAAATCTTGTCTACTCGCTGCTCGGGCGTGAGGCCATCCTCATTCATTTTCATCATGATCACCGTGCCCACCATTTTGTAGATTGCCTTAGGAAAACAAGAAACAGGCCATAAAGTCCTCCCACAATAGGTCACAGAATTTAAATTTCCTTCAAAGGACTCCTTAAATGGTTTTAAATAAGAGAGTGATGTCACCAAATCCATGTGAATCTCATGACCAATGGGATAGAGAAGAATTTTGTGTGACTCCCAGGTTCCTGGCTGGGGAAAGTGAGTAGAAAGAATAGTGGTGAGATTGAGAAAAATGAAATAGGAGCAGGTGCAGGGAGGAAAATGATGAGTTCAGCTCAAACCTTCTGAGTTTGAGGTGCAGACGATGGTCAGTAAGCATAACTCCTTAGAGATTTAGGGAGGATGAACTGTGGGCCCCACTCAAGGAATCTACAATCTGTTAAGAAAGCAAACAAGGTGGACCAGTAAAGTTTAGCCCTGAAAGAGGGCAGCGTAGGGAGGGCTGTGAATCAAGGACTCTGTTCATAAGCTAAAGAACAGAGTTGGAAGATTCCATTGTCCAGTTCAATTAAGTGTGCACAATTAGTTCTCAATATGGGAATGAAAGGTAGAAACAAGTCTCTTTCTTAGGAAAATGCCTTAAAAAATTAAATGCCCATCTAAGCAAAGACTTACAGGTGAACATTATTACATACCTTACATAGCAGCATTATTAATAATAGCCAAAAAGTGGTAATAGCACAATTGCCTAGCAACTGGTAAACAGATAAAATATGACATTTCTGTACAACTGAATATGATTTTAGCAGCAAAAAGGAATGATAAGTGCTACAACACAGCTAAACCCTACCCCCAAAAGCCAGATATAAAAGGCTGTACATACACAGTGTATGATTCCATTTACATGAAATGTCCAGAAAGACAAATCCATAGAGGCAAAGTAGAAGGGAAGGTACCTGTGTCTGGGGGTACAAATGGGCATGAGGGATCTTACTGGGAGAATTAAACTGTTCCAGAATAAGATTATGATGATGGTTGCAAACTTTGGCAAGTTTATAAAAATCTTTGAATTGCATAGCTAAAATACGTGAATTTATGGTCTGTTAATTATAACTCAATAAAGTTTTGAAGAATGCCAATTAGAGAGGATACACCACTAACAAGTGTTTCCTTTAACAAGTAAAATGTCTACTGAGATAAAATATTTTTTGTTTGCTCACTTTTGTAAATAGATTGTGTTGATTCAGAGTGAAAAAGAAAATCTTTGACATCTGACTTTAAAAGAAGCAAACTGTTGACATTTCATTTGATGGACAGTTGGTAGAAGGGGTCTGGATTAGCCTAGAATCCTGAGCAGTGTATGAGGGAAAAGAAGAGATGCCTGGACTTTAAAAACAAGACAGACGGGTCAGCCGCAAGTAAGCTGCCACTTTCACTCCATCCTTTGAAGGGTGAAATGAAAAGGGCTTAAAGGAGGCGATAGGTAGGAAGGCCGCCAGCAAGACAAATGCACTGTTGATGGTCATGGCAAAAAGAAAAGCAAACACAGAGAGTCCACCCTGGACCTCATCTAATAGCTCTGAACACGGCTGGGAATCCTTAACCGCATCTGAAACGCAGCCCTGCAATCTGCACCATAAACATGACAACCAAGAAAGGACGTTCCAGATGCAGACTCTTCCATCGAACATCAGCGCAGGTCAGGAGCACGTCAGACTCAGGACTAAATATGAACCTGCTCCCTGACGGATCTTAAAGAAACCCTGTCGGCCCCTGGCGTGCATCACAATGTTTATCACTGTCTTCTCTGAAGATGGGATATGTCTCGCGTGTGCTTTCCTAGGAAGAAATGACTATCTCAGGTATTCTCGTTATTCAACCAAAAACTAAGGACCCATTAGGCCTGTGTACAACACTGCGGGACAGATGCCCTGTGCTTCCCTGGGGCGCGTGGCCCCTGGTGTCCCCTCCAGCCACTGGCCCTCCCTCATCAAGGCACCTGCCTTGCTCTGCTGTCACTGCCTGTTCTCTCGTGTGGACACAGGCCCTCGGGTCAGCCAGCTCCTCCAGGGTGGGCACATGTGTCTTTTCGCATCTGTCTCCACCGCTTTGCCGGGAGGCTGGCACCAACAGAGAGGCTGACTGCAGGCTACAGGAGCCCAGAGGGTGGAGGGTGGTGGAGAACCCTGCGGTGAAGCAGGCCAAGACGGCTTCTTGGACGCGGTGAGATAACCTAGACCTCGAAGGGGAAAAAAGGACTCGGATGGGCCTAGAGCCCTGAAAGACATCCAGGTGAAAAGCATGGTGGGAGCAAAAGTGGCCAGAAGTGCATGTGCAAGGGTGAGGGGCCTGGGATGGACGGTGAGGCTGGAGCAGAGGAGACACACAAGCAAACGGGTGTCGGCTGGACCAGCTGTCAGAGAGCTGTGTGCCTGTGCACGGAGGAACTGCTCTGCAGACTTCGGATCACGTGAACGAGCAGCTCCTGAAGCACAGGGATGCTGTGAAGACTGCATCAGTCATTGACCTGCTGGTCCTGAAAAGGTGGCTCAGCAAAGCGGAACCTGGAGGCAGGAAAGTGTGCCAGGGCCCAGGTGCCAAGGGCCAGGAGCTGGTGAAATCACTGGAGGTGGACATGGGGAGCCACACGCAGAGGGAGCAGGATGGGGGACGCGGCTGGAGAGAAGGAAAGAAGCTGGGAGCTGAGGTGGATGATAGTTCCAAGGGAGACAGAGCCTGAGAGATAACTGCCATTTACTGAGCGTTTCCTACGTGACAGGAAGTGTGCCGGGTGCTCTGCAGACCATCTCACTTAACCCTGACCACGGGCTTGGAGGATAGGTTTTATTTGCTTTATTTTTTCACAAAGACATTGAGGCTTTGGTGCACAAACCCCCACAGCCAGGAAGCAGCACACCGTGTCTGACTCTTAAAGCTCCCCTTGCTGCTGTTGCGTCTCCCAGTTTACTTAGGAAGGCAAGTGGGTACCAGATGGAGAGAAGGAACTAAAGATACTGAGAGATGATGGGCAGGCAGGGCTCCAGAGGCGCAGCACGGAGCCGGGAGCTGCCCCAGGGGAGGAGAGTGAGCGTAGCTTGAGGGGCACCTGGGGGACTGGGCCACTTGGGTTTTGGCTCCTGTTTCTTGCCATCAGCCCCTAGTTGTCATCTGGGGATCCACCCTCCCTGCGTCTCAGCCTTGTGGTCTGGATGGGGCCTCACCCCAGCTCAGGATGGAATGCTTGGCTCTTGCGTGTGGCAAGTGGTGCATTTCCCTCTGGGGTCACACTGGTTGGTGCAGAGGTGGGCACACAGGCTGAGACAGTCAGCCAGTGAAAAGGCATCGATTCACTCATCAGCAGTTGAGTGCGTGCCAGTTTCCAGGTCTCTTCTAGGTGCTAGGGAAATGGCAGTGAGCGAACAGAGTCCTCTCCCCACAGAGCTTGTGTTATATAAGGTTATCTGGGGCCGTGATAAATGCTGTGACAAAAAAAACACATGTTGGTTAGGGGTTAGACTGCACCGGTGGGTACTGTGTTGGGAGGGCAGTGCAGGAAGGCTGGCCTGCTGGGAGGTGAGATGAGAACACAGCCCAGAGTGAAGTGAGGGAGGCCGGGAAGGGGTTCTGGGCAGAGAGAGAGGACGTCGAGGCCCTGAAGCAAAGCTGCGTGTTCCAGGAAAACCAAGAAGGCCCAGGTGTCTTGAGCACAGTGTGCAGGGAGGATGTGGAAGATTAAGGTCAGAGCAGTGGGCAGAGGAAGCCTGGGACGTTTGCACAGGCACCTGAAAAGATGACTGTTCACGTGGAGTGATGGGGACCTGGGAGCCACGGGCAGCATCTTGTGCCCACGGGGGCAGCTGGTTTGAGGAAGAAGGCAGCATCCACAGAGCAGAGCTAAGGCAATTGCCAGAGAAACTGAGTCCTGATACCACCCTCTGCACCCAGGAGGCTCTCGCCTATGGAAGATCTCCCAGCGCGAGCATGGCTGGTTGAAACGCTGATTGACAGTCAGGGCCGAGCAGCTCGGACCTGTGACGTTTCCCAGAGCCCAGCTGGAGCCAGGGAACAGGGACGGAGACTTCAAGGCCTGGCAGGACTCCTGGCAGGGCAGAAAGAGCTGCCACAGGCTTATCCCCAGGGAGCTCTTTCCCGGGGCTCTGCCTCCAGTGCCCGCAGCCCAGGTCCTGAGCACACGGAGCGCCCGCTGCCTGGGGTGGGGGTTGGGTGGGACTGGGGCCCCCTCACCTCAATGATCTCCAGCATCTCCACCCGGGTGATCTTGCCATCCCCGTCCAGGTCGTACATGTTGAAGGCCCAGTTCAGCTTCTGCTCAAAGCTGCCCCTGGAGGTGATGGACAGGGCGCAGATGAACTCTCGGAAGTCGATGGTGCCATCCCCGTTCTTGTCAAAGGTCCGGAAGGCGTGCTGGGCAAACTTGGAGGCGTCCCCATACGGGAAGAACTACAAAGCAGAACACAGAGGTTCAGGTGTCGGGAGAGGGGGAATCACAGGACTTCCTGCTCCCGGGCTGCCCGGGGTGGAGGAGGGCAGGCTTGCGGGCCTGGACGAAGGTCTGGCCCAACGTTCAAGGTCAAGGGCTGGCGCAGGGAGTCCGTCTCCCCGTGTGTCCTCACTCACAGGCCCCTCGCTGTCTCCCGTGTGTGAGGCTGGTGACACTGGGCTTTTGGGTCTGTGGGGCCTGGAATGGGGGAGCAGCTAGGATTCCTCATCTGCGGCTCCAGTCGCTCTCCCTCAAGGACGAGGATGAAGGAGCCCTGACTCCTCTCCTGCTCAGGGTGGTGGGTGCTGCGTGAACTTCCACTCCTCCGGGTGGGACAGTCTAGGTTCACCGCCCACCCGCGGGGCCCGAGCGAGTTCGCCCCGACCTCCTGCCAGCGGCTCCCCAGCCCCAGCCCACAGCCCTCTCCCGGGGTGAGGTTCCAGAGTCCAGACTTCTTTTTACAGGAACTCTCCTTCTGCAGACCATTTAAAACCCACTAAAAATAGAACATGACCGCTTATTTTTGAGAGCCATGAAGAGATGTCTTCTCATTGCCGCCGGGGTGCTGTGGGAGACAGAGACTGGACCCGGGAGGAGGAGGTGGGGAGGCTCAGACCCGCCCGGAGGTAAGAGTGCGGAGAAGGAGGCAGGGCCTGGCCCTGGACACGCATCCAGGACAGCCACCCACAGCGGGGCGTTCTGACTCCTGACTCTCTAGAGGACAGTCTCCAAGTGGAGCACGGTTAACAATCAGGTAATCCTCACCCCCGCCCCTGCCTCAAACAAAACAAACCATGCGCCGTTTTAAAGCAGGGACGGTACGTATGTGTTTCTGGATGAAGAGATCCAGCAAATACAAAATGCAAAGCAGATTCCAGAGGAGGCACTGGTGTTCCTGTTCCTGTGGACATTCTGCCTCTTGCTAAGCAGGCGGGTGGGCCCCACCCAGACCGCCGGCGCCCTGCCTCCTCCCCGCTGCGTCCTCTTTCTCCCTGTACGTCCTGCCTTTCTAAATAGCTTGATCCTCATGTGCCCTGAACTGCTTTTTTTTTTTTTAACTCACAACACTTAACGGCATCAAATGTGGGGCGGGGGTTGGTCTTGGTTTGTCTTTTTCTGCCACAACAACCAGTTCTCCAACTTGCTGGACACCAACTGGGTGTCCCACAATTCAGTCCCATTCTGATGCTAACTGTGCCAGAGGGTGAGGGCTCAGTCCCACGAGACCGCCCCACCTTGGATGCCATTCACAAGTCCCAGGTGGCCACCCTGGACCTCTGAGAGACCTGCTGTAAAGTTGGAGGGTTCCCACAACCCCCTCCTCAGTGTCGAGAATTTGCTAGGATGACTGTCAAAACTTAGAAGGCACTTTTTAAAAAACTATTACCAGTGGTTATAAAGGATACACCTGCAACAGGGGAGAAGCACACGGCAAGGTATGGGGGGTGGGAGTGCACGGAGCTTCCACGCCCTCTCCAGGTGCACACCCTCCCAGCCCCTCGAGGTGTTCACCAGCCCGGAAGCTCCCCGAACCCCGTAGCTTAAGGGTTTTTATGGCAGCTTCATCATGTAGGCACAGTTGATTAAATCACTGGCCACTGGCGATTGGACTCAATCTCCAGACCCTCACCCCTCCCTGGGGGTTGGGGCTGAAAGTTCCAACTCTCTAATCTTCCTTGGTCTTTCTAGGATCAGCACCCCTGCTCCGCCCTCCACCTAAATCCTGAAGCTCTCTTGGGGTCCCCAGCCACCAGTTATCTCATTAACATACAAAAGATACTGTTATCACTCCAGAGATTCCAAGGGTCTTAGAAGCTTTTGTGTCAGGAATAGGGGATCCAGACCAAATATATATTTCTTCTTCTATCACAGTGTCATGTGCCCTGTGCATCAGTGGTCTTCATCTTTCTCTCGGCAGGTGCTGTTTGCTGATGCACCATCTGCCTGTGGTCAGGGGTCTTGCTGGACAAAGCTGGTACCTGTGACGGACCCTAAGAACAGAGCGGAGTGAGCTCCTTGATGGAGATGGATTCCCAAGCCTCAGGGCTGTCCCACCAGCCTTTCTAAGGGCAGTGACACGAGGTCTCCGCGTATTATTTTTCTCCATCCGTGTAGGTTTCTGGCAGTGCAAAGCTTTACCTACTTTATGCCTCACAGCATACTTTTAAGTTAAGGGCTATCTGATAGTCTTATCTAAAAATAGCTGGGCACCTCAGGTCAGTATATTAAAAATTCATTTAGATCTGGAATCAATTGTAAATTTGAAGCTATAAAAGTTACATGTGCCTTGCAGAATGTCTATTTACTGACTTTTATAGCCAACACGTTTACTTTGGAAGAACCAAGCGTGTGGTCAAGAGCCCCCAGGTATCTGGAGGGGCTGTTTCCTGTAGAAAATTCATCCTATTGTGCTCTAAGCACTTCACGTTTTCCTCTTCAGGGGAATGCTCCTTCTTTTGATGAAATCATTCAACTTTGGACAGATCATCACAGAAAAATGAAGCCATACTCCCTTCAATCTCTTTAGGAAGAAATTAGGGTCATGAACTCATCTTCGCTTCTCTTGGAGGAAAATAGTGCTTGAGATGTACAAGTATTTTGGCGTATTGTTGCTTGACGGGCGTTTATTTTTTAAAATTCAATGTATTTTGCTCCAATTCCTGCATGAAATAATTTTTGGCGGCATTAATAATCTAAACCTTTAAATATAATAAAAAAAACTGAAGTTGAAATTTTATATATGTATAATTATATATATTTCATTTACGTCTTTTAGTTCAGGCTGCTATAACAAACTATCACAGACTGGGTAGCTAACAAGCAATAGAAATGTATTTCTCATAGCTTTGGAGGCCAGAAGTCCAAGATCAGGATGCCAGCATGGTCAAGTACTGGCGAGGGCCCTTTTCTGGGTTGCAAACTACCGGATTCTCACTTTGTCCTCACGTGGTGGAAGGGGCAAGGGGACTCTGCGGGGTCTCTTTTTTTTATAAGGGCACTAATTCCATTCATGAGGGCCCCACCCTTCTGACCTAAGCACCTCCCTAAGGCCCTACCTCCTAATACCATCATTTTGGGTATTAGGTATCAACATATGACTTTTGGGGACACACAAGCATTCAGCCCATTGTGACTTGTTTGAAAGAAAATAAATTTAGTTATGAAAAATTTTAGAAACTGTATTAGATGATTTAATATTGCTAATTTTCAGTAAGTTTCCAGCCTCTCTTTTATGCCTATGTACACACACACACACACACACACATATAGTTTTTCTACTTTTGTTCAACATTTTAAAATCAAGTGTATCCTGTATTTCCATTAAAAAGAAAACAAAAACAAAAACTCATCCGGAAGCAGCTGCGATTGGTGGATTAATGCCTGCTGACAGGAATCCAGGCCCCCAGCCAGGAGCCCTTCTGACCCTGGAAGCTGTGTGGTGCGGCTCCTGGAAGCCTTTGCTGGGGTTTGGCACCAGTGGGGCAGCCTGCCCTCCTCAGGGCGCCTGAGAGAAGCTTCTCTTTGAAGAGCAGGGTGTGGGGGTGGAGCAGGGTCTGCTCCGGGTTCTGGCCAGCAGAGCCCTAGGCTCAGTTCTGGGGATGACGGTGACCCGGCCGGTCCCCTGGGCTCCGGGCTGGCTGGGGGTGATGGTGGCCGGGAGCCAGTCCTCCCAGGTGCTGCAGCCTGCATTCTCAGGCCCTGTCCTCGCCCCTGCGCAGGGCACAGCGCTTCTGCTCCAACACGCGGGGGCTCAGAGCCTCACAGCAGAAGGTTGGCAGGAGTGGGGGCAGAAGTAGCCTGCGGTCCCTGAACACTTCTGGCCCTTCTGATGATACCCCTACTCAGGGCCACACAGCGGTCTATCCTCGTCCTACCACAGGGACAGTCCTGTGCTCTGGTTATGCTCTGAGGAAAGGGGCTTTAGAGGCTGCTGACCTCGGGTGAGACCAGGACCCAGATGCCAAGTGAAGCGTGATGTCTGCAGGAAACCGTCCCCCTGGTGCTGAAAAGCAACTTACAGGTGAACTTAAGGGCCTGCTCTGTTTCTAGCTTGGGGTGGGATCCCCTATCTGTGGAAGCCAGATGGAATTACTCATGGATCCTTAAGTGCCCTGTGGTTTCCAGCCTCGGTCTTGGCCCACACAGCTCCCTCTGTCTGTCGGACCCTCACCTACTGCTCAGTTCTGCCTCTTCCCATCACCTGAAGCTGCCACCTCCCCCAGGCCCTTCCTCTGCAAACAGCCTGATGTCGACCCCTCTCTCCTTGCAGCCCAGTGATCTTCGCGCACGCGGCGTTCCTCTGCTGGACCACACGTCCCTTGCTCCACTCAGCCGTGCTCCCAGTCTTTGTTAACCAAGTGAGGGAGCCTTGGCTTGCAGGGAACAGGCCAAGCCTGCGGTGGGAGGTTCCGCTGAGGATGAGCACCTCGGAAATGAGGACAAGGGAGTTGAGAAAAGGCCAGCCCCGTGAGGCCTCCTGCTTCTGCTGTGCTCAGGTCCGCATTTGGGCCAAGGTTAGTAGAGAGCAAGATCACACAGCCTTCCCCGCTCTGTCCCAAAAGTGGAAACAGGGCCAGGAATGGGGGTCCTCAGCAGACTTTCCAGGGGAGGTTCTGTGTGGCAGAGAACTGGTGTGGATGCCTGCTCTCTGCTGCTGACTGACAAGCAGAAGGGGGCATTTGTCCCACAGCATCCCCCGGACTGATTTCTAGACATTTCTGAGTTAATTCCTCTGGGACGCACATCTCTCTTTCCTGCGGACTCCCCCTCCCCAGGATGCCTGGAAATGCCGTTTGTACCTGCCAGCAGTTGTGGGCACCTGCCTCCTCTTCCTGGAAGACCTTCCAGGAGCCCCCCAGTCAGATTCTCAGCAGAGTCCAGTCAGCTGGGCACAGCATGGGCCGTCTGTTTCCTGAGCTGGGTCACAGGGAGCTCCCTGAGCCCACCCGGCACTGCCGAG